ACTTCCTAATAATTTCCAGAAAGAATGTGAGAAAGCTTGATCTTTCACACACTAGAGTGCAAGCTGGTGCAGCCACTTTGATTGGGCAGAAGACCTTAAAGTATAATTCACCCAGCGTTTCTGCTCTCAGGCAGATACCTAACACAAATACCTGTGCTCAGGCAGAAGTCCATCTAGAATGTTCAGAACAACACTGATTGCAAAAATAAAAAATGAAAATAGTGTGTTGGCCTGTACAAGCGAGCAAGTGTGATCTGTTCAGGCAGTGAAATCCCACATACAGCCAGAATAGATGAACTGAAGAGCCACACAATAACTTGGAAATATATCAAAAAGCATGGCAGAAGCAAAAGAAGGGAGGTTATGCTACAGGGGTCAGTTCACACAAAAGCAAGCAAAAGTAAAGTGTACTGTTAAAAAGCAAAAGACTGTTTACTGGGTGGGAGAAGAAACAGAAAGAAAGTAAGCGAGAGGCTTCACCCATCATCACCCTATCTTGATATTTTCTTGGGTTTGGTTTTTGTGTACACGCTAAGTATGTCTTCTACCACTGGTCCACATTCCAAGCCCTCTTCTTCATCTCATGACTAGTGGTCTCATTTTGTGAAAATGTTTCAGGTTCTATGCATAACATGATATGCTCCTGTCTCTGTGTGCATTCTACTTCCACGTTGTAAGCTATTCCAACCACATATTACCAAGTCTTTAAAAGGCTTGGAAGTGTAATCTCAAAATCATGAGTTTAATTTCTTGTCATTCTTAAGTTCTATCATTGTATCTATAAACAATTATTGATCTATTCATCAAATTTACCAAATTTTGTGGTTAGTCATGTAATATTCTACTTTGGAGCCATGTAAGTGTAGTTGCTGTAATTATCCTCATAGCCTAGTGAGTGGCGTTGTGAATATTAACGTCAGTAAATCTATCAACTAAGACGTTTTCTTAAATATTTTCAAGTCGATTCACCATATGAAGCATATGCAAAATATTTATGAAATAGTTACATACTAGTATTCACATATGTTGTTCTTATCTTAGGACAGAGAAAACATATAGAAGAAACAAACATTGTTCCTGGGTCAGAGCTACTAACAGCCAAACTGGTGCTATCAAGCATCTTGCCAAAAACCATTAACAGATAATCGTGTCTGCTGATCCCTGAGTTGTCAATGGGAGTTAAGAAAATGAGGAGTAACCATGACAGACACAGACTGCAGCCAGTAGATCAGGTGCTAAAACAAGACTGGATTCTGTCCTTGCACCTAAAGCAGCCTTAACACTTCATACTCCTTAATGCGTTTATCCGTGTTATTCTGCCCAGAAATAAATGCAGTTGCAGTTCAAGGATACAATCTGCTTGAAGATTACTGAATTATACAGGCCTGTCCTGAGAATAAGTCTTTTTCTTTTTATATAAACATGTTGAAGAGAGACTGCTTTTCCACTTGGCTGCATCCCCTGCATCTTCTCTGCATTGCTGATCCCTCAGTACCAGATGCTCCATCCAGCCACTCAGAGACATTAACACAAACTGTCAGATTCAGGCTGGGGAGGGAGATGTAGGGTGGGGCTTGAGTCTTACATTTTAGATCCTGCAGGTCTATGGCTATTTTGAGTAGCAAGGCTCTAGATAAGGAGAAAGAATCACTCCTCTTTGTTGTTTTGTATAAGTCGCAGGATTTTAAAAATATAGAGTGCATACATAGGTCGAGTTCAAAAGGGGAATCGCAAGCAAAGCCTTGCAAGCAGAAGACTTGGAAGTCAGGTGGCCTCGTGGGATGAATGGGGACAGGGAGGGGAATGGGGGCAACGGAGAACTGTTAGGACAATTCCTGCCAAACCAAACAAACTCATCGTGGTGTTGGGGTGAGCTTCTGGAATAAAAGTGTTCACAGTGACAGAGCATGTATATTAAAGTGGTTTCTGTATGTTGTACAGAATGCCGGGCCCAGAGATTAAAGGGTAGATAGGGAAACTAAAAGGATATACAGAACTTGCATAATGAAGAAGATTTACTGCTATTGTATCCCAGACTAAATCAATATCTGGCATACTAATCGAGCCAGATATCCCGAGAACATGATCGTGCTTCACTTCTTCATTGTAATGGATTCTCTTGCCATCGAGTAATTTGAGCCTACAGATTGTATTTTAAAAGTTCTTCAAGACAAAACTCTGTTTAAGAAGAGAATGTGTTTGTTGAAAACTATGATACCTGAAGCCCAAAGCCACTTATTTTTTCAGGTAACTAAATGGCTCTAAAATTTTGTTTTTTTATTTCTTATTGGTTATCTTAAAGAAGCATGCTACTGTATAATACATAGGATTTGACTCCGAGGAGTCAGACCTATGCCAAGGCTAATGTGTTCGGGTAGCCATTTGGAAAGGAAATGAAAAGACATTAGTTCATGATCAAGTAAGGCATAGGGGACCCTAAGGAACCCTGATGAAGTGGTGAGTAGTCAGCAACCTCCTCTGGTTGGCTGAATGCCCACCTTTAAAGGATGTCAAAGGCATGTAAATGCTGTACCTAGCCCACACTGTTAGGCTGAACACTTTTCCCTGCTCCTTTAATTCCTTGCTATTTACCGTCACCTCTTTGCTCTCTTCCACCCCACCCCCACCTCTCTCTTCTTTATCTTTTTTTCCTCCAGCTATTCTGCTGTTTAAAGGGCTGAGTTGAGGAAAGGTCCTCATTCTGTGCCAGGAAACTGCTGAAATCATCACCACCCACAGCTTGACCTGACTTAAAGTATCTTTCTCTATTCTAGAGCAGTGGTTCTCAACCTTTCTAATGCCAGACCCTTTAGTACAGTTCCTCTTGTTGTGGTGACCCCCCCACCCCCAGCATAAACTTACTTTGTTGCTACTGTTAACTAATTTTACTACCGTTTTGATTTACAATATCATATATATATAGGATATCTGATATGCAACCGCCAAAGGAGTCACAACCCATAGGTTAAGAACTACTGTTTTAGATACCCTCAGACAAAAATAATAAATAAATAAATAATAAATAAATAAATAAATAGATCCTATTTGGAATACAACAAAAAATACCTGACCTAAAGCAGGAGCATAGGTCAGGGGGGTACTTTTGGGACAACATAGAATTTACTGCTAATCCACAAATCATATGTTTACAGATGTCTGTAGACATATTCTGTAGATTCAAGAGAGTGTGGTGACTATAACACTTACCTTGCCTTTACATCACTAGGGTTCAAATCTCAGCTCTGCCACTTAACAACAGCAGCATGTTGCCCATGTTACTATGTGTTATTCCTATTAATAAACTGGGAAGATGATAGTGTTGGCCCACAAAGAGGTTTTGCAAGCAATTTTGACTGTTACTGTGCTTGGGTTGAGGGATGCCTAGGAGCTCAGAAAAGTCTTAAACTTGAAAACTTTGAGGAGAAAGACCAAAATCCACAATTGTCTAATCAGAGCAAATTTTATTTTAGATATACAACCAGGACTGACCAGACAGCTGACTATAAAACCCTAAATAAAATTTTTTGAGAGCAGCCCTGGATGTGAGGAAGACAGACTTAGCTGAGTGGTAGGGGGCTTCCAAATGAGGGATTTGGCTGGTAAAATAGGCAAAGTTACAGGAACAGAACATAAGCATAACAAGGTAGTCATAGTGACCTGAAACAAAGACATGATTGTCATTCCTGGAACAGGCAATTCAGACCATTTGTAGTTAAGATTACAGGTGAGGTATAGCCCAATTCTTGAGAAAGAGAGGTTTAATCATAAACAGGATTGAACTAGTTTGTCTTTTCTATAAGATGGCTTTAACGCCTAAGATGGAGGCAGGCTGATTCTTGAGAAAGTGAACTCCTTGTGATGTCTATGTGTCCACTTATAGAGACATACCATGGGGGCTCTGGGCTAATGAATGGCTCACTCCATTAAGGGATTAAAAACTTTAACAGAAAATTGGGAACTAGTGGAACTATGGGTTCTTGTTTGAAGAAGAAGTCATGGGCATTGAAGGTTGTTTTTGAAGGGAGTACTTTGACCTGCCTTCTCTTATTAAAATTCCACTCTTGAGGTAGACCAGAAGGTCTCTTTTCCTGCACACATTCTCACTTGCATGACATTTCTTTCTTGCAATGGGCCCAAAGCATTCAGCCAACTGACCACAGATTAACACCTCTGAAACTGTGTGCCAAAGACAATCCTTCTTTCTTAGAGTCTTTCTGTGAGATATCTGGTCACATGGCCAAGCAAGGGACTACATGACACAGTTCCTACCTCTGAAGCAGAACCAGAAGGATGTGGCCTCCATGAGTATTGACTGTTGTTAGGTATAAGACCTGTTTGCATTTTACATTAGTTCCTCTCTGCCAAGGTTAATGACTCCATGATAATTAGAAACAGCTCATTCTGGGAGGTGAAGGTGTGTCTAATGCTCCTCAGCAAAAATGGTACAAATGTTGAGACCTTCAGAATAGCCCTTCAGACTGTGGGAAAGAACTCTGAAAACATGAGTTCAAGAATGGTTAATTCTCAACTATGTAAAATACAAAAATGCATTATGAATTATGTGAGGGTCTTCACAAACTTTAAAGAACAGAGGCAGCTTTACTGTGAGCCAGCTTGTCAGAAAGATATTAAGGAAGACAAAATTTAGAGAGTCATAAGGCAAGATCCCACCCAGATAAGTTTATTATTTATACTTACAAAGGCAGGCAGATTCCTGAGTTCAAGGTCAGCCTGGGACAAGCTAGATTAGGCCCAGGTGACATGGGAATGGTAATCTTAGAGCTGGATCCCACCCAGCTAGTTTACTATCTGTGCTTATAAAGGTGGTCAGATTTCTGAATTCATTTGGCATGTAAAAAAAAAAATGTGTTCGCTGTCTTCTTCTAAAAATTAAGGGGCTAAGGTCATAAAATGCTGGTTCATGGGATAATCAAAAGGGAGCCTAAAGTCATCAATTGAATTGATATGTAAATATAAGACTGGGTCTGTAACTTCTTAGAGAGTGAACACAGCTCTTCTAGAATTTTTCTAGCAGGGTTTCTGGCTTTGATTGGAAAATCTAAGACTTTTCTGACTTTGGTTGGAAAATCCATGAGCTACCCAGAGAGGTTTTAGATTTTTTTTCTATCAAGAGCTGAGCTGTCTGGAGATCTCTGTAGCGCTGTCTTGAGCAGAACACAAGGCTGTCAGCTTGCACCCCACCTCATTGACCTCAAGTCATTTTTTTTGCCACTCCCAAACACCCCTTCCTCAGAAACCCTTTCCAAGCTGAGGCTGCAGAACCCATCTCGAAGCCAAGACTGGTCCTTGGCAGTCACACAAACAGTGAATTAATAGAAACAGCATTCAGATGTAATGAGTGGCTACACTTACAGCATTTGAATCATGCTGAGCACGGAAAAAGTCCCCAATGCTAGGTTCTAATTCAAGCACAAAAGGTTTTGGACAGAGTTTTGTTTAAATTTCCCTAAATCAACCATAGGCACATAGTATACAATACAATTAGCAATCAAAAGAAATTGTCTTCCTCAAGGGCTTCTTCCCTAGAACCATCTCCTGGCCTCTGTGGGCACCACAGGCAAGGGCACAGACACACATTCAAACAAAATGTCCTTACCCTGAAGATGAAAATAAATGTTTTTTTAAAAGAAAGAAATTTTTAATTTTTCTTCCCCAATTAAACTTCTGGCATTGGAAAAATAGTTTTCATTAAAAAGATTAAGTTTTCTGTCTTCAGTTTCTGCATCTATAAAACAAGTATAATAATAATAATAATACCTACATCTTAAGAATTTTATGAGCATAAAGAATGTGATGTTTATATGATATATATACTATCTGGGGTGACTTTGCCCAATAAGGTTTTTTTAATTGACTTAAATTCTTGCTTAAACACTTTGAGAAGTCAAACATCCTCCATAAGAATTCCGCACACTTCTGTGGAGTTGGCTCACAGTTCTCTTCCCAGCACTGCCCTTCTTCCTTCATGAGTGATAAGACAATGACATGTATGTGATTGGGCAGTAGGCTTCGATGAGATTATCCTCAAAGCAACTCCCACAAACAAACGGGAGGTCAGAGCACTTCCATTGTCACAGGGAAATGATGATGATTTTCTCTTACCTTTGTTAGCACAGCAAGTTTTAAAGCTTTCTTCATATGTGTGAGATTTTTCTTACTCCTGTCTCCTGGTTTGGTTTAAATTTTTACTGTGCTGAAAATCCAGGGTCTGGGGCTGGAGATCAGGCTCAGTGGTCAAGCAAGAATGCTTACTGGTCTTGCAAAGCACCCAAGTTTGGGTCCCAATATCCATATTAGGCTGTTCACAACTTCTGACAGCTGTAGATCCGGTGGATCTGATACCTGTAGCCCACAATGGCACCTGCATCCATGCGTATATACTCATGTTCAGACACATACATATAGTTTAAAATAATAACAATAAGAAGTATAAAACTGTGATTTTTTTAAAAAAATAAAGTATGTAACTTAAGCAGATATCACTTAATATTATTTTAGTATTTTTAACTTATGCATGTTTTGTTATGAGTGTTTTGCCTGCACGCATCCATGTGTATGAGTATAGTGCTTGTGGAGGCCAGAGTGTGGCATCAGACAGAACTGGAGTTATAGATGGTTGTGAGTGCCAGGGGGAGAAGGACTCTGGATAGCTCTTTTAACAAATAAACCAGTGAAATGGATAAAGTAAATACATACAGGTAAGTCTCAAAAACACAACAAACAGAAAAGCCATGTTCCAGAATTATGTATACACCACACACTATTTCTTTAGTTTATTTTCTATTGCTCTGATAAATAACACTTTGCTGACCAGAAGTAACTTAGGGAAGAAAGTGTATACTTGGCTTATACTTCCAGGTCATAGTCCATCATTGAGGGAAGTAAGGATCAGAACTCAAGCAGGAATTTGAAGCTTAAGCCATAGAGGAATGTTCCTTGATGGCTCAGACTTAGCTAGCTTTCTTATATGATCTAGAACTACCTACTCAGGGAATGGAAGTACCCACAGTAGGCTGGGCCCTCCTAGCTCAATCAATAATCAACACAATCTCCCAAAGACAATCCCACTGGCCAATAGGATCTTGCCTATCCCTCAATTTACATTCCCTTCTCAGGTGACTCTTCTAGGCCATGTCAAACTGACACGTAAAGTTAACTGAGATACTGTTTAAGTAAATTTAGAAACAAGAACAATGTGTGTCTAGTGGTACAGACTCGCATAGTTAAAGGTGAGAAGCACATACTAGAAACTAGATACATAACAAAACTGTAAGCAAGCTTACTTTTGAAAAAAATGGAAATATTTCCAAGTCAAAAAAATGATCCAGCTGTTGTAATATTTTGGTTTTAAAAATATATAAACAGGACAGGGGCTGTAGCTCTGTGGTAGAGTGTTAACCTAGAATGCACAAGAACATGAAATTCCTAGCAATTGTGTGTGTGTGTGTGTGTGTGTGTGTGTGTGTGTGTGTGTGTGTGTATACAAAAGAACATTATAACATATTCATTATTTAGGAAGGAAGAAAAGAAAGAAGGAAGGAGAGAGAAAGGGAGGAAGGAGGGAGGGATGAAGGGATGAAGGATGGAAAGAAGGAAGGAAGGAAGGAAGGAAGGAAGGAAGGAAGGAAGGAAGGAAACTTTCAGGTCTCTTACCTCTCCTTGTTGGGAGTTGTGTCAGTCAGTGTTCAGCATCCCCATTAATACATAGCGTCCCACACTTGCAAATCTGGATCTGACACTACTTCAGTTTTCTTGAAGCTTCAGTGGAGTAGAACACCACAAGTAAGTTCTGGTGAGCTTATGGCTTCTCGTTATAAAAGTAATTCATTCAGTTTTGAATTTTGGTAAATAATGTTGGGACACAGAGAATACCTCTAATGTGGAATTCATCAGTATCCATTGGTCTATTATAAGAGAACACAAAGGCCTTGGACATGGACTCAGATCCAGCTCCCTGTGACCCTGCCTGGCTCCCCAACTCCCATGCACAACAAGGAGCCTGCTATAGTTTGAGAACTGTCCCAGATAGGCTCATGTATTTGAGCACTTGGTCCCAGTTACTGGCACTATTTGTAGAGGTTATGGAACTTTTAGGAGGTAGAGCCTTGACAGAGGAAGCATATCAAAGGAAACTGCTTTTGAGAGCTTTAGAGCCTCATTCTATCTTGATGTCTCTTTCAACTCCCTGTATGTAAATGAGATGTGACCAGCCAGCCTCCTGTCCCTGTTACCAACGTTCTGACTGTTGTCTGCCTCCCCTGCCATGATGGACTTTATCACTCCTGAATCATAAATAAACCCTTTTCTCCTCTAAGTTGCTTCTGATCATGGTATTTTATCACAGACTAACATAGGGATCTTCCACCAAGTTCCCTTGTCTACCTGACCTGGATACCAACTGCCTTCAGTTTGATTTACTGAAATCTCATTAACCAGAGAAAGCCAATCTCAGCACAGGAAGGAAGCTCAAACACTGACCACACACCTGTGTAGACCTTGTCATACCCCAGTCTTTCATTTTGATCCCATTCCATATTCCAAAGAGACTTATTTAAAAACCACTGCCCATTCTCTGGGTCACTTTATCTCAGGTCACTAAATGTTCTCCAAGTCCTAAAGGACCCCCAAATAATTTACTATCACTCTAAAATCGTGTAAAGCCTTCCATCTTCCCTCTCCTACAGAAAGGATGAGTAAATTCTTAAATCAAGTTGAGCTAAGGAGTGGCTATATCGTGAGATTGCTGCTATTCACATAACAACTGTGTCCCCTCTCCAATTACTATGTCTTTATTGGTTTATTCCAGCAAACATTCAGAGTTCAGGGGTTGGCGCTGCCTTCATATTATAATACAAAGTATAAAAGAAGAAAACAAATATAGATTCACATTCTCTCACCTAGCAATAAACCACTAATATCTATCTGTATGTAGAAAAACAATTTTTGAACAAAATTGGAATTTTATTGTATGATTTTTTTTTTACTTAAAAACATATCATAAGTGTTTATGACCTTGCTTGTCTCCAACAATTAACTCTACATAGTGTTATAAACTTCTATTGTATGGTCTGCTTACTGTTATTGTCAAACATTTGAATCCTTTCCATTTTATCTACTGCAAATGATGCCTTATAAATGTTTTTGAACACAAATTTATAAATCTTAGATTATTTTCTCAGGACAAATTTTTCATGTTAAAATTATCGGATAAATACACTGAGCATCTTTAAAGGTATTAATTTATCTTTCTCAAACACCTTATAGGAAAGTTGTACACTTCTTCAGTCTCAAAAGAGTACTGTTTGTATAATATAATTATATGAAATGTCCTTAGTTGGTAAATGCATGGAGACAGAAGTGGAGACCTTGAAAGCTCTGTGGAATTGGAGGAAATTGGGAGAGTGACTTTTAGTGGGTACAGAAGATATTTTGAAGTGGTAAAGATAGCCTAAATTAACAGCTGCACAATTGTGTTTTAAAACTATCAATTTTATACTTTTAAGGTATGAATTTTAAAAGCATGTATAACTTATACCTCAATATACTAGTTCAAACTATAGCTAAGGATATAGAAGATGATTAAATCATGGGGTCCATACCCTGGCATAAACTTTATGTTCTTTTCCAAGGACTGAGTTAATCCTTACAAGAACAAGCCTGATGTCTCCCTGATCTCTTGATTTCTTACTTGCACACATGGAGCTTTTACAAAAGGATTGTTAAGGGTGAGTTCTACTTACTAGAAGAGAACAAAGACCCAGGGTGGCCATTTGACTTACAGCCAAGACACAACTGGTCACGTTGGAAAGGTAGATTGAGCTGAGTAGTGAACCACATTATACCCTGGAAAAGAAGACAATGTGTTCCTCAAGCCATTTGATGGAGACACTTGCCATGTACTATAATACCCCCACCCACAACTCCAAATGCCGCAATAAAAGAGAGGGACTGTAAGAAGGAAAGGATGATCAGCACGACTTTATATATTACACAGTTTGAGTTCTCTGGGATACACTTTAGGTGATGTTCCCTCAGACTGGACA